CAAGATCCCAGGGGAAGCTTTGAGGTTCTCGGGTATGCTGATGCTGTGTGGAAGCTTTCTTGAGCTGAAGAGCGGTTTTATATGGAGGTGCAATTGGAGGCTGTACAGGATCCAAGCTCTGATAACTTCCATCTGCATCTTTAGGTAGCGGATACGATCGGTCAGAATCATATCCACTAAGGTCCCCGCAGGCTAGAAATGGAATATACACCTTATTTGGCCCTTCCAACCCCCCACTACTGCAATCTGTTACATCATAATTCAACACAAAAATTGATTCATTTAGATTGTGCCAAAAGAAGAATTTACAAACAAAAAAAACAGAGGAGAGTTAGTTAGAAGAGAGAGTTGGTAGATAATATTGCATCCCACATTTGATCAAAGAAATGAGAAGATAATGTCGCGAAAAAGTTACAATGAAAAATTTTGCATTGTGAGATGAATAAACAGTCAAACATGTAAATTCGTCAGGATATATGAAAAAAATATATATATATATATTAATCTAATCATAAATTTTACTATCTTGACTTTGATTCAAATTCTAATTTTATAAAATACTAATATAAATGCAATACAACTGAAATAGATTTAAATGAAAATAATATTTTAATTCAAAGTAAATTCTATGTACAATTAAGTCGGGTTTTTGTGATTCCTTTATTAATAAGTGGAAGTACAGTTCATTATTATGAAAGTGAAAATATGAATGGAATTAATTCAATTATGTATAAAAGGTGTAAATTATGAGTACTTTCTGCATATCAAATATGTAAATCTATGAATTAGACGAGAATAAAGTAATATTGACCCCAAGTCCTTGTAAGAATTTTAGCTGCGACTAACTGGACTAAAACCATACAGATAAGACCAGATTGCATAGTAGGACCAGCCTGCAGGCATGTAGCAGGACACGCCAGAAAATCCAAAATGTAAATAACTGGAAGCACTCTTCTGAGGTTTTTCATTCTGCAACGTACATGTGCCATTGTACACATTTCTGCAGATATTTCTAATAAGTTGAATCCATTATGATTACCATGTGTTACTAATTAGACATTTTTTTCGACAAATAAAGAACTAGCACTTCTTTCCTGGGACTCTATTTGGCAAACAGGAATCCCAAACGTGAAGTCATCAAAGCATAAATCCGTTGCAATTTAGTGGCCTTGACATGAAGAGTGCTGCTAGAGAATAAACTGAGAATATTATAGGATTTCTCCTTTTCTGAGAGAAAAAGATAATGGTAAAAAAAAAAGAACCAAATGCCGCCCATGTACAAAAATATTTACCCTCTCAAAAAGGATAGATCAAATCGATCAGCAAACTTAGCTCCATAAGAGCAAAATGTTAAGAATTTTTGAAGATAATAATCCCACAGACAGGTGAGCATGGTTGCCATCTCCTAAAGCTCTCTTGTTTCTCTCCTTTTCAAATGATCCTGAAAATTGTGTGGGGGATAGGAAAGAAAAATTTTCCTTCTCAGCTTGAACACTGAAATACCACTCCAAGCACATAATAGATCCTTAATTGAGCCACTAAAAACCCAGCTGACATTTTAAGATCTGTAAGGTACAATCCAATACTTTCTAGATTTGGGGCACCTGAGAAGTTGGCTTGGCATTCACTCTCCTTGTGGCACAAACAATACTTCATGACCATATTTCTAGCCTCACTTCGTGAGATTTTTAATAGTTAAATTCCAGCTCCATGCTGCCTCCCAAGTCCCAAGCGATTCTCGAGACAAATTCTGTCTTCCAAATTTGTTTCCGAGGAATAGAATCTAGGATCTAGTTGAAAGCAAATGATTGTAATCAGATTCGACAAAGGATGTTCTATCCTTAAAAAAGCTTACAACAAGAATATTGTCAGAAATCGACTGAATATCCATCAGGGCCAAAAAGAATCCAATCTTTAACCTCTCCGTCATTGAGATTTCAAAGGGAAGAGGTGCTCCAATACCTTCCACCATTGCACATCTCAAAACAATCTACAAGCCTTGCCTCGTTAAACCTGGGGATGGAAAATTTAGAGGGAAAGACCTCCTTAAAAGGACTATCACACTAGAGATCATCCTAGAATCTAATCTGCCTCTTGCCACCCTTCTTATCCAGTTTCAAGAAGAGGAGTGTCATCTTCAAAGATAAAGTGGAACTTTCCATCATGTGGTCTCCATCACCCACACAAGAGCCATAAAAAAAAGATGAATAAATAGGAAGGGGAGATGAGATCACCATGCCTCGAACCCCTACAGGACTTAAAAGATTCAGATGGTCCAGCATTAACAACCATAGCAAACAAGGCCACTGAAATGCAGTTAGAAACCCAACGACATTATTTCTCTCCAAAACTTGTCCTCTCAAGAGATAAAAGAGACCATGAGACATGATCAAATCTCTTTTCAACATCTAGTTTGCACAATAAATCTAGGTTCCTTCTTTAGAGCTGCATCAACCATTTAATTGGCCGGTAAGAGCCTCCAAAATTTCTTCCTCCCAAATTCCTTCACTACCATCTTCTACCCAAGGTTTCAGCAATGAGTTTACAGATGCAACCACCAAACTAATTGGCCTATAGTCCCTATAGTTTACTGTCCCTTCAACCTTAGGACAAGCAACAAAAGGTAGTACTAATCTTGCTAACAAACTGTCCATATTGCTAAAAATCCTCAAACAGATCAACAATCACCCTTAACAATATTCCAGAAGGCCATAGAGAAGCCATCTAGGCCCTGGGCTTTGTCCCTGTTGAAAGAGCAAGGTGCCTCTAGGATCACCTCAAAAGAAGAACACTCAAGCATATATCCTCATTATCAAAACCTTCCAGCTTCATTTTTTTGGGCTCACTCTAATCTTACAAGTGACAAAAAAAGGCTTTTGCAGCCTGCTTTAACTCTGTTAATCCCATTATCTCGATCACCCACCACAACTTTAGGGGTGAAATTCTTATGATGGTTAGAATTTGCCATTCTGTGAAAAGACTTGTATTCCAATTCCCTTTCATAATCCAGAGAACATGAGATTGTTGTTTCCAAAATATCTCATTCCTTAATAAATATTAGCAAGCCCAAGCTTAGCACAAATCTCCTTATTTCCAACACTCTTCCTCAAGTTGAAACTTCATATAGTTGAAGCTTGTCATAATAAGAAGAAAACTTGAAATGGAAAAGAACCTTGTAGCTTGATGAACTCCAAAACTTTTTCTAACAATTGATCTGTTCCAAAAGTCATCCTTCCAAACAAGCTAAAATCAACAACTTACAATTAATTCAACAAACAAGGACGTGAAAAACGGCTTAATCAAAATAACTCATACTTGTCACCAACAACTAGGTATCATGATCAGGAAATATAAACCTTCCACGAACAACCACAAACCTTACAAACAATTGTGGAAGAAGAAAAAAAAAAGGCTTTTCTTTCCTCTCTTTAACATAAAATGCCCTTTATTCCCATTGAGTAATAATAATAATGGTTAACAACTTTTGATTTTATAGAGGATTTTGGTAACCTTATCAATATTCTTATTGCTGCATAAATTTTTTTTGTATACAGGTTGGCACTCTCTTTATGCTTGTAATTAATGAATACACTTCATATTTTTCATTTTAAAAGAAATAATGGTTAACAACTTTTGTGAGATAACTAGTCCTACACTCTTTACCATAAAGCTCTAAGGTTACAATAGCTTTTATAGAATTACTAATGCTCTCCTGACAGAAAAAGCTCTAAGGTTACAACTGAAGAACAACTAGTCCTCCCTACCACTAGCAAAAGCCCCAGCATTCATAATGAGGTATCTTACAGCAACTAGTCCTTGCACTCCTTAAGCAAAGCTCCAAGGTTCCACAAGAATATTCTAGGAGAATTAGTACACATTCTTCACTCCCCTTAAGTAACAAGCTTTGAGAGTCTACAACTTCTTACAAACTTTTTATTGTTTGTTTTAGCAAAATACTCCTAAGTAAAACTACATATTAAAACCACCCTAGTTCTCTTATCAACAAGTTTTTTTCTTTCCTTACTAAACTCCTCTAAAAATATAACCAATCCCAAAAAGAAACAAGACTAGCCTACCCATAAATACATGCACAAATATCACCTTCAGAAACAAGATCATCATACAAAATTGGTGCTCACTGCACCAGAAAACTAGAATACAATGATATAGCCCACCACCACAGCTTCAATAAGAATACTTCAAAATCACTTCGCAAGGGATGAACAAAGATGCAAATGCCACGAAACAAGAAAGAGAACAAAACCAAACTAAGAGAAGTAGAAAACAGTTTCTAGAAACAATCATTGACACCACATGAGACAACACCCAGTGATCAGATTTTGGTAAAACCGAAATTGGAGAAGACAACTTAACATGCCAAGTGACAGTTCAAACCTATGCATTGACGGCAAAATCTCCCTTAGGATTTTCTTTTAAGGGAAGGAATGTGAAGACAAATCGGGTTATTTGTTTCATGAATCGGGCCTAAAAAGGAAAGCTGTAAGGAAACAAATGTAAATAACTAACAGTTTTTTCACACGACTATTTTTTTTAACTAAGTTTGCTCCGTGCAAAGAACAGGAGCACTGTACAAAAGGAGTAAAATGAAAAACACAAATTATTTTTTGGTTGAAGAGAAAAGCTAAGCAGGAATAAGAATGTGTAAAAATAAAGAGAAAGGACCAAAACAGCCCAGACAAAAACTGAGAACAGTTGGTGGTGAATCTTTTTCTTTTTGGAGAGAGTTGACAACGGTCCTTTTTTTACCCCTCATTGCGGATGGCTAGGAATTACTAGAAAAGATGGTGGCATAACAATGACATTTACTGAACCCTAAATTCTAATTCTTTGATAATATGCTAATTCCTAATTATTAGTGATATCAAGACATCCAGAAACCCTATATGTGAGAACCACCCTATTACCATTCAGACTACTTTATAAGTGTTATATATTATACACATTTTCTCATGACTGAGTGCAGGCCAATTATTGTTTCCAACCACTGTGATTGCAGATCCATTTTGCTTTTGCATTTTTTTTTCTTTTTATTTTCCACTTCACTTTGATACATCATTCACGTACTTTCCTTTCATTTAAGTTTGGTAATAGCTTCTACTGGTTAAAGAGTGGATCTGTTAAAGATACTTTATGGTTTTTGAGCAGCTAAATCCATTAATTATTTCAGCATAAAGAAAGTGCAGGAATACCTCTCAATAGAATAGCTTGGAAAACTGATAATATAATCAAGGAAATGTAGTATATTTACCTAAATCACCTCCCCCAGAGGGACTTCCCACTTTCTCTAAGAGACGATGCAAGTCTTTTGGATTAAATCCAGGAGGAGGGGAATAATTCTCACAAACTGCAAATGCCTCTGTAAACAATTTGTCAAAGATAAATAAAATCCAAATCAATTCCCCCATTATTATTGACATTGCAAAATTGGATTAATTGCTGAAGCCATGTGCAGGCAACAGAAAAAAAAAGGAAAATCAGTCATTTTATCTATGGGATCATTCAAAACTTTCTTGCATGGGCACCTTAATGTTTTAAAATAACTAAATGATGTTGTTGCCAAGTTCCATTTATATCCCTATATGCTTTGAGTAATTCCATTTGCTCACACAAGCTTAAGAAAGAAATAGATATGAGTCAGGTAACCAGTCGAAATGATAGAATTTTTTCAAAATGGAACAATGAACTAGTAAGAATATTGTGAAGGATAAAATATTAGGTTTCCTCTTTACACTTTATATTTCAAAAAAATATATTAGGTTCCCTAAAGATTTGGTATTCTTCTATTCTCCCAAAAAAGGAGGATTGGGATTGTTTACATCCAAAGATTTCCTAGGATTTTACACTTTATTTCTATTTCGTTGTTTAAGTTGAACGTTTCCTGATTAGTTAGATTTCCTTTCAGTAACAACCTGAAAGGCCAAAGTTGTAGTATGAGTAGCATTAGGAGAAGCCTATAGATATCCATGTAAACTCTTCCCACGTAAAGTTAATTTGGAGATTCAGATTTATTTAAGAAACTTTTACATCTAAATTCTAGCAGACTCAATAATTTATTAGCTTAATTGCTGTATTATTTGGATCTCTTATCTGCCATGTGTTAAAAAAAAAAAAAAAAGCCAAGCATTCTTACCTATGCTGGAATTGCGGCTGCTTTTTGGCTTTGCAAAGGTAACTGTAGGAAAAAATAGTTTCAACTGCAACAAAGAAAAAACAGTAACAACTTTTAATAAGAGTTCATTTTTCAATGATGAACATCTTGGAATTGTTGACAAATCACCCATGCAATACTCACAAATTAAAATTAAAAGATATAGAGAAGAAAGAACAAAGAATTTGAACATGGTTCAGCTATGCGCTTACTCTAGGGAGCCGACTGCGAAATTTTCACCAAATGAAGAATCACATCTTACAACTAGATTTTTTCTAGATATAGTAAAGAAGAGGACAAAAAATCTACAAGCATTCCCTTTTTAATATAAACCTGCCCTAGGCCCAAAACTTTTTCTCGCATTTAATATGATGAGGCAAAACGAGAATTCATCATCATATTTCAAAAAAAATATGATGAGGCAAAATGAGAATTCATCATCACTTGGGTGAACAATAAATCCTCTGAATACAAGCCACACACCTCAACAGGAATCAGTGTCCATAGCTTGCAATTGTAGAAAACAAACTACCATAAGATTATGTATTTATGTTCCATGCCTGGAACATGTAATTTCAACTGCAACAAAGAAAGAAGGAGCGATGAAGGTCGACAAGAGTATATTTGTCATTTGTTCATCTTCTAACTAATGTCCTTAGCTTGCAATCTAGAAACAGATTCACAGAAT